GGCGGCCGCCGTGCTCCCCGCGGGGCCGTCGGGGCGGCCGCTCCCGCCGCGGCCAGCGGAGGCACCCCCGAGGGCACCTCCCGCAGCTGACTTCGGCAGCTCCCGAGCCCACGAGAAAGCTGAACGGGCTGAAATGCTGTCGAGGCTTTGCAACGTGAGACCGAGCAGATTTTTGTCTCGAAATGATGCAAGGCTGGCTGCTGAGAGAGGTGTTTCATGCGTGCGGCATCGCCTGCCGGAGTCGGGTCGGGGGTTGGCTCTGAGTTGGAAAAATTGGTCTGTCTCGTTCCCTGTAGGGATTTCGTTTGCTCGTCTAGTTAATCAGTTGCGTGCACATATCGAGTATTTATTAGACGGTCACACTGATCAGAGCTGCTTTATCGGCAGTGCCTTTCTGACGCCGGCTGTGTTCTGCTTCTGTTACACGGCGGGTAATACTAGGGGCTACAGTCGGTCATTTGAATGTATAACTATGCACCTGAGAGGAGATGCTTTTGGATTTCAGTTGTTTCATGGTTTCCTTAATCTTGTCGGTCTTTGAAGTCCCAGGATGTGCTCATCAGCGGGCTTAAAGACTTTTCTCTGTTTTGCATTCTAAGTCATGCAAACGCGGCTCCTCTGTGCAGACCGGCTCCCAAGTCATGCAAGTAGAAATGAAAGTGCTTTTGTAAATTGGAGAGTCAGGTCTGATAAAGTAAATGGAATAACTTACGTTGTCTGTTATAATACACAGAGAAATAAAACACCATGATAGTAAAAGGAGAGAGCTATATATTTGCATATACTAACGCCTATAGGAGTATGCTTCGGTTATATTATTACTTGGAGTTTGGCATACTGTTTGCGCAAGTACTACCTTTCCTGCCTGGTCCTTTTGTTCAGTCTTTTCTGGATGGATATACTTTTCCTGAAAAACTGGGTGGTGGTGGATCGCAGCGATGTTGCAATGATTAGGTGTGTTATCTATGGTTGTGCAGTCTACTCTACCCCTCCCCTGAAGACGTAAATGGGTCTTGTTTTTCAAATTTGTTTCTCCATATGTTTTCCAAGAGTGCTGTGGACTTCACCTGCACCATCCAGATAAGAAGCCCACTTTCCCTCCCTTATCCTATCCCTCCTCCTTTGCTATTCTCAACTTCTAGGAAGGGGAGGGCACCAGAATTTCTATCTGGACCTGGACCTTGTCTGAGGCCCCATTTCTCCTATAAAACTCTGTTTACTGGCTGATAACATGTTTGGGGTGGAGTTTGGCTTTCTCTCTCTCCCCCTCCTCTCTTGGAGCCCCCAGCAGCTGGGGTGGGTAGCTCCTCATCAGTCCATCCCCTTCCCCCCGCCTCTCTCAGGCGACTAATGGTGAGAGGCGTGGATGTCCAACACTTCACTGCTCTTCCCTAGCATCAGTTTTATTTCTCAGCTTTTTCTCTTTTTGTGCATTTATTTTACTGGTTTTGCTTGTTTCTTGTTTTGCTGAATAGCAGCTGCAGGAGATTGCTCTAATTCTTGAAAAATTTTGTTGCCCTGCATGGCCCTGAATAGTTTCCCTGGGACTAAGATTAGCTTTCGCAACGAAGGAGGTAGCAACAAAGTGTAATTAATTACATTTGGTGCAGTCATATATTAAAGTTGATTTCATAAAGAGTTGGAAAGACATCGGCATTCACTCTGAGTTCTGCATTTGTTACTTGCAGTGATAAAAGCACTGTTTTTTTTAAACCAGGCAAAAATTCATTTGCCCTTTAGCAATAACAACTGCATCATAAATCATTATGTGCACAAAGTAGCTGCCAAATATTGCACATACATGTCTGCATATATGGTATATCTATGTATAAGGACATGGTCTGACTGGTATACACAGAACTAAATGTTCTCCCCTGCTCTGATGCACGTATTTCTGAAATGCGAAGAGGCATTGTTTTATTTCTACGCAAACCTTGGCCTTTGCTTTCTCGCCACTGTTCTTGCCTCACAGTTTTGATGGTGCTTATGTATGGAGGCGTATTACTGAGATCTTGAAAACTGGCTTCAGTGTGGCATCATGCATGCTTTTCTTAGCTGCTCAAGGTTCCTGTGACGAGGGAAATGTTCTCACCCCTTCACAGAAACAGTCCCCTTAGTTAACCGGGGAATTGCCTTAGTTAAAAGACAAATTGAGAATCAATTGCCTTCAGTTTACTATTTGTTTAATAAAATATATGGAAAGTACTTACATGTATTGTGTTTTACTGCAAAAATGTCTCTTGGTCTAGTTACAACTATAACACTGAGGTGTTTTATAAATAAAAGGGGATATGAATTCCTTATACAGCACTTAATTTTACCCGTTATGATTTTCCAATTGTTTTTATTAGAGCTAATCTTATTGTAACCTAATACGCAGCTAAATTACTTGCAAACCTAACTTTATAAATTTAAGCATTTTGTGTATGATAAACTGGGCGATGGATTCTCTTTAGGAATAAATGCGGGTATGATCCTGCAAAGGTCAGACCATACTAAACTAATAAACTTTCTGCATATAATAGCAAACCATCCAAAAAAAGAATCCACGTTTTCACCTGTACGTACTCTATTTATGCAAGTATAGAGGCTCACTGCAACTGAACCGTATCCTGCGATGTCTCCGCTAGGCTTGTTTCAAGTTGGTCTAGCCTTTTGATGAAACTCATCACCTTTAACTCCAGCTGGGTAAAAGAGCACCGCTGTTAGGTGCTACAGCGAGTTGCATTTCCTGACAACTCGTAACTGCCTGCCTTAGGACATCTAGTTCATGAACTGAATGTGTCCAATGCTGGTGGGTACCGTAAGTAGCAATAGTCTAATCTAAAAGTGACAGAGGTGTGCATTGCATTTGGTAACTCCGTGTCCAAAATAAAGGTGGGCAATCTTGAGAGCAGATGGTTCAGTTTTTTGTCCTAAATCTTGGTCACAATGGCTTTGATTGTTAAGAGCTACTAGGTAATCTCCTCTAGCAAAAGAACATTTTCCCATCAATAGGAGGGGATTTCATAAGTTCAAAAATTGGTATATTTAATCACATTCCTTCAACAAATTAGAGAATGAAGGGAGGTGAATTGGTGAGTTACACTTTCATGGGTATGTCTTAGAGTACATCTCTAGAAAATTAAACTGTACATTTGTTGAGACGGAGGCATATAATTCAGGTGCAAATTCAGAAGACATTTTCACCCTGGAGATCCCACTGGCTTGAATCTGATTGTTTGACATGCATTTGAGCATCTCTTCTGACTGTAATGACTTATTTTCCAACAGTCATACACAAAGTTTGCTTTGGGATGGGGTCCGTAGTAATGAATTGAGCCACAGTTTTCACAGAGTGGCAGGAGTATGATAATTGTATTAGATTGCTGGTAGGTAATCTAGTAAGGAATACCACTTGATATAACCAAGTGGTACAAAATGAGCTGAAGTTTCTTGATATTTTCCTGTGTATTTTGAAAGGTCAGATTTCTGGCAGTCTTGTGTTAATGACAGATGTTTAATCACCAAAGCAAATGATTTTGGTCATCCGCTAAGGACAAGTACAAAAGCAGGTACAATGTCTTTTTAGAACTGAAGTTTATTGTTGAATAATTAGCTAATGCCAGAATCACAGCCTTGGATCCTCTTTTTGGAACATTCATATTATTTATGAATGCAAATCATTCATATTATTTACTGTACAATAACTATAGTTATTGCTGAGATGGAGCAATAGGACCAGGTAGTTAAGCACATAAATATATTTTGCCTTTCCTCAGCTTAGGAACATTCTAAGCATTAAAATTAATTAGCAAAAAGCTTCTTCTAAGCATCCTAAATCACAGCAGTTAGTTATGTATAAATGATGGAGTGGTGCTTCTTCAATTAATAAAATTGTGCATTGCATTTCTAACTACAAGGTACTGGGATCTAAACACAATTAAAATTGTATCATATGCTAAACTGTACATAATTAAAATATTGAATAGCTTTGATTCTAACTACGGTACTGGGATCTAAACACAATTAAAATTGTATCATATGCTAAACTGTACATAATTAAAAAATTGAATAGCTTTGATGACCATTTGTGAAGTGAGAAGAATTAAGTTAAAACAGCTTTATATTTCAAACCAGTAGGGTTTTTACCTTCTGCCATAGAAGCGGTTTGCTTAATGAGTGTAGTTAACGAAGTCATTAACAAAAGGACTTTTTAACAAACTCAGGACTGAAGGTCCTTGCCTTTGTTCTACCTGAGGTTTAATTCTTAGGCTGGTCTTTACAAGTTACTCCTTCCCTCTTCTATTTTTTGGGGCTGCTCAGAGGAGAGTCAGGCTCTGCCCAGGTGGCTGCGCAAGCTGCTTCCGCACAGGGCCGTGGGACGCTTCCCTCCCTGATTTACTGCTGGGGCGCTTGGGTTATTTTAGCACCTGTGAGTTTCTGAGCTATGTTCACTTCTATTGAAGTTGAGGAGAGAAAACTATCTGACAACTTTTGATGTTAGACTATTAATCACAGCATAATACATTTTAATCCTTTTTTGTCATCATGTTTATTTAAGTGCTAAGTCAGCCAGAAAGACCCAAACCAACAGGCCGAGATCAGTTACCTTCAGTATAGGGAGTTACGAGATTTTCAGTGATGCAGATTTTACAAGATCAGGTTCTGATGCTCATATTTAAGTTTTTCTTATATATAGTTGATTTATTATGCTTCTTACCCATGATAAGCCTGGAGGAAAAACAAGTGCTATGCTCTTTATAATACTGAAAGATCATTAGCCCGGCAGACTTTTCCCTTTTCCCTTTTCCCTTTTCCCTTTTCCCTTTTCCCTTTTCCCTTACCTTACCCGCTTTTCCATCCTAAACCTTGTTTGCTATCTTTACCTTATAGAACATATTCCCCAAGCAACTTATTGTTCCTGTTTTTCTGCTATGGCCTCTTTCTGCATTGTTTATTATTCAAATATGGTTCAACAATGGCACATATATTCTTAATGAGCACTCTCTGACGTTTAGTAGATAAGAACAGACACCTCACACATCTCATCAGTGAAGCTTTTCTTACTATTTTAGAATGACATTTGCCATTTTTCTCATATCCATATTGTTGATTTACAGAGACAATGCTTTTCAGCTGACTTTCGGCTTACCTTGCATGGAGAGAGGAAGGTTATTGATTAACAGCTTCTTTAGTGTTTTAATTTCTAGCTAACTCTGGTGAATGGTGGTGCAAGTCTGTCTCTGGAAGGTCTACTCTCATTTATCAGCAGGAGGTGGTAGAAATCCAAACCTTGTGCAGGCACCACTGTCCTGAGTGTTCCTGTTCTTTGCTGATTTTGTCAGCACTATCCTAGTGTGTGTGTGCGTATGTGTGCATGTGTGTGTGTAGACTTCATGGTTAGAGAGTGACACTCTTGTGTTGTGATAGCTGGTTTGCAGGGTCGATGGGTTGGGAGGAGGTGATCAGTTGTGCAGCGATGCTTAGGTTACAGGCACTGCCATCAGGCCCCCGGAGAGGCCATGCACCACTCAGCCTTTTTATCTTCTTTGACATCTCCCCATCTTATTCAGCGTAGTCAGTAGAAAATGTGTTCTCAGGACTTTTGCAGCCAATGACTAAGGTATAAAAAAATGCTTAAAGCAGGGATTTTGGATAGATAAGAGGTAATCCTTAAAGACATAATGAGACATGATATTAGGCAAAAATGGCATGTCAAATATTTATTGGGGCACAGTACCTGTTGGATACAGGATGCTTGATTTGAATGAGCATTTGCTGGATATGTCTTGTGCATAGTTGAGTCTTAACTGTGTATAATTAAATGTCTACCTGCTGCATGTGGCTTTGTTCAAAGGCCAAATACAGTTAGATACACCATGCAAGGTAGATAAAGGGGTCCTGAGAGCTGCAATGTGGTGCAGCAAAAGTAGCTGAATATTTTGATCTGTGTTTTTCTGATGCGCCCTTTTTGAGTTTAAAAGATGCAAACAAGAACAATTCAAGGAGAGTCTTCTTTCACACGAAGCAGGGTGCTGCCATCAATTTAGCCTTCTCCTCCAATGCGTTGCAGGGCCTGCCCACTGGAAGGAGGTTTTTCCTGTCGCTAATGGAGACCGTCAGTCACCCATCGACATCAAAACTGAGGAAACCAAGTATGATCCCTCTCTCCGTCCTCTAAATCCCAATTACGATCCGGCTTCTGCTAAAATCATCCTCAACAACGGGCACTCCACCAGTGTTGAGTTTGATGACACCGTCAACAAATCAGGTTTGTTTCTTTCCTGTTGCACTGTGTCTTCTTCCACTGTTTCCTGAATAGAGTGCATACAGCCTGAGCATGTCTCACTGCCTGGTATGAACTCTTCATAAACAGTAAGGCTTTGCTGCTCCGGGTGAGAGGTTCCTTCCTTCCCTTTCATGTCTTTCAGCATGATACAATGCGGGAACATATTTGGACACGAGTTCGAGGTTGCATTTCTCAGAAAGTGATAGGATTCCCTTTACACAGGGATGGTTTGATCCACCCCAACGAGCTAGATAGTGTCAGCCTCCCTGTTTGAACAGTGTTGTGTACAATTTTTGAAATGCTGCTCTCTCTCTCACTGCAGATGAATCCTTTGTGTCTCATTACAGGTTCATTCCAACCGAATCGCTCAAGTCTCTTATCTGACTTTAGCTGCAGGTTTGGTTATATATATTTTTCCCTTTTACAATCCATACTTGGACTTCTTGTGTCAGGAAAGAGCCAATACAGAACAAATTAAATATATACCAAGTGATCCCTTTTCTTTTCTGAAAAGTGTTATTGTCCCAGTCTTTTCTAGGAGTATGTAGCTTCCCTTTTTGCAAGCAGTAATTCTTATTTAGAAGTTCTCTGGTTTAGCATAGTCTTTGTAATATTAGTGCCTTCATCTTTAAAACCTTCTCTTGGGTGGTAGGCTAGCTAGCACACCTCCCCTCGAAACTGTAGGAGTGCAGTTTCTATGAGCAATAAGATCCTCTTGTGGTTGCGTGAGGCTTAGCTGAGGATCCAAACCCATATGGTGCATTCACAAGGGTCAAAGCCAGAGGGGGACTAGTTTGTGATCACCCTGTCCATTAGTCCTGAGGAACTATTGGCTTATAGTGGCAACAAGGAGAGACCTAGATGGAGACAACATCATACTTTGCTTTCCCGGACAGTCTTAGTTTAATTCTTAAATTTCCTGTCGATACAAGCAACATTGGATGTTGCCTGAAAGCCATCAGCTGACCGTCAGTGATCTGGTCTGACCTCGTGTGTGTCAGATGCCACGGGACTTCCCAGAATTAATCTCTGCTTCAAGCCTAGTAGGTGTGGGTGAACTAAAGCACATCTCTTAGAAAAACATACAATCTTGATTTCAAAATTTCCAGCGATGATGAACCTACCACAGCCTTTGGTAAGTTGTTCTAATTGTTAATTACCCTCACAATTAAAAAAATCGAAATCACATTTTATTTCTGGTGTGAGTTAGATCAACTCAGCCTTTAAACTCCTTTTTTTTTAAAAAAAGTAACAAATACGAATACACCAAGAACCTCTTCCACTTTCTAACGCCATCCATGAAGTGACAGGGCCTGAACATAGTATTTCTGTAGGCTTACAATGGTACCAAAGCAGTGGTAATGTGATCCCCTTCTTACTGCTTTCCTCAGGCCATATCTCCAAGGATATAGTTCATGTCATGGCAAAGCACTGACAGATGTTGATCAGATAATGAACAAATGTAATCCCCAGTCTCCTTCAGGAGACTCCGTATCTTCTATGTATGGGCTAGATTCTTCAGTCCACATACATGGCTTTACATTTTGGCCATTATCATGCCTTTCTTATCAAAGAATTCAAATCCTTCTGTATCCATAAACTGAGTTATTCACTATTTTCCCTAATATTTGTCACTGGCGAACTTTATCAGTAATGTTTTTGTTTTCTTTCAGGTCATTGATCAAAAAATACTGAATTTTCTAGGGCCAAAATTTGGCCTCTGGGGCACCCCTGTGAAGTAAGCACTCCTGCCATATGGTGGTTTTATGAAAAAAACAAAAAAGATAATTAATTGGTACTAAATACATTAGCATCTTTTAATACATTATTAACTGACTTCCATATGAACTATTTCTTCACTTTGGCCAGCATTGAAACCGGGCTGTCAAGTCTGTAACTGTTTGTGTAATCCTGTTTATCCTCTTTGGTACCACATTAGTTCCATTCTCTGAAATTCGTCTACTGATGTTTCAAAGACCTCTTCTTCCAGCTCTTTTCAAACTTTGAGATACTGATATTTGCCTTAAATAGCTTCTGACTAACCTCTTCCTTAATTGCTGTTGGAAGGGAAGGGGTTTACCATCAGTGTTATGATGTAGTACAAATACATCATCAGGCCATTTTCCACATTTTTCAGCAGAGGTATTTCATTGAATGCTGATGCATTTCTAGGTAATTGTTTTCCCTCAGCCAGTTAGAACACTGATCTTTACACATTTCTAGGATCATTTGCCTCCAAGTTTTCAGTCCTTGAAAGAAGGAATTTGTTTTAGGAGTGCCACTTCCCCATCCCCTTTGTTCACTAGGTTTATAGGCTCTGTAAAAGCATGTTTTTGAGTTGAAGTTTTAAGGAGGTCAAATATTTTTCCCCACAGATAAACAGTTCCAGTTCCTTTCATTAGCCAGGCTACTTGTGTTAGCAGATAGGCAACTAAGAAATTCTTCTTTTATCTTTATTTGGTGGTATTTTGTTCCTAACAAAGTTTAGGTTTTGGACTAAACCTAGAAGAGAGAAAAAATGACTATTGTCCTCCCCAGTGCTCTTAATTTAAAAGCTATCTGGTTAAAGCTCCCATCCTTTCCCCTTAAAATCTCTATAATGAGCCAGTAAACCACCCCAGACTAATTCCCAAACCCTCAGAGGAGATATGGAGCCGGGAGAGTGGGGTGATTTGTTTTGCAGTGAATAAGGAATCTTTCTGAATGTGATTCGCATTCAAGTCTCTGTGCAGACATGTTTTGCTTCCAACTCTGACTAGCGAAAGATGAGGACTTGCAAAAGCAAAACAATGAAAAGCCCATCCATATGCCTGTTAAGTTGAAATAAATGGCTGATTAAGTGTCAGTAATATTGCAGTTGTACAATGCATGTGTCGTGTTGGCTTCATTTTATTTGTTAATATATGCTCCTTTTTCTCAGACTTCAATCTGATGTAACTGGATCTAGTTGCAAATGAAGGAGAGAGCCTTGAAAATTTTTTTAAGCTCCACCTTCTTCCCTCCAAATTTCAAAGAGAAGAAGAAATTCTGTTCACATTATACTTTTCTGATACTCCCCTTTATTCATAAAACCTATATTTTAAGCTTAATTTCTCAGTGATTCTTTTAAAAACATTAAAGAGAGGAAACCAGTTGCAAAATAGAAATAATTTCCCATCTTCTGAGAAATATCCAGCCCATAGCAAGACAAACCTGGTGATAACAACATACCCTTTAGTGGGCCATAGCCCACTAATCTACACATAAATGCGATTTTGAAAGTCATATCCTGGACAAGTGAGGGTTTCTGTAGTAGTTCAAAGAAAGGGGAAGCCATCTGAGACAGCTTTTGAGAAGGAGCAGGGGACTGTCCGAAGACTGAAGTCTGGTGTGAGGTTAGAGGATGTGGGTGGTGGCTCCCGTTCCTGCAGTGAAGCCTTTTCCTCTGCTTGGGTTTCCAGTGCTGACCGGGGGGCCGCTCAGCGGGACCTACAGGCTGCGACAGATTCACTTCCATTGGGGGTCCAATGACGAAGCCGGCTCCGAGCACGCGGTGGATGGGATGAAGTACGCGGCAGAGGTAAGGCTTTACATGGAGTCATCTGTACCTCTAAGCTTGTGACTAGTTTTCTGTTGTAAGAATAACATTGCCCCTCCTCTGCCCGCTTTTCATTTTCCCCCCATTTTATCGAAAGACAAGCGGTCTTCCTGAAGTGTTGCATGTTTGGTCCTTTCTCAAAGGAGAACCTATTTGAAAGCTTTGGAGAGGATTAAAAAAGGAGTACAGAAGACAAGAGCTTGATAAGAGCAAGATTTAATGTTCAAGAGTTATTTTAAACTTTGTCTTTCACTGTCTCTTCCTTGGAGAATATTTTCAAAGTCAGCTTCAGTTACAAACCACAGAATTATTTGATCTGGGGCCTGTGCAGTGTAAAGTTTATGCAAAACTTAGGAGTGTTGCATTTTGTGGTGCATTTAGCAATGGGATGGTTATGACTTTGAGAACCGCACCTTAATATCTGTGGGGTGCCTGCTGTCTGTGGAGGTACTGCGTTTCAGTGGAGGCAGCGTGCCACAGGGAGAAATGCACCGTCTGCTCTGGCATGGAGAGTTCGCTCCTGCTCTGTCTCCTTCGGTGCGTTTGAGTAGTCTACAGTAAAAAGTATTCAGTATCCGATTCCTCTTTGCAAATGGAAGTAACATGGAGTATTTTGATGAGACTGAGATCTTTAACAACACATAGTTCAGACAGTGGAAGAGTTTTTTTGGGTTAAAAAGAAGTAAAAAGTATAAAAATAAATGGTAATGGACAAATAAAAGACATAATACTAAAGAAGAAAAAAAATGAAATGTATGCACAGTGGTGTGATCAGATTTTACTGGAAATGCTATAAGAGATAGTGGTCAGAAAAAAAATCAGTTTTCTAACACTAATGGGGAAAAGTGACATTTGCAGTGTTTAAAGGCTTATGTTTTCCACAGGAACCAGGTGAGATGGAATATAAAGAATTAATAGAGGTGCTTTAAAACCATTAAGTACCAAAACCAAATTTCTAGCTGAGAAAATATATATATGTTTCCCATCTAAGAAACCAAATGGAAGGAGAAAATATCTCTGAATTTCTAGCCAGTCTAAAAACCTTTCCGTTACCCGTTGGTTGGGTAACCCTCCACAAGAAGCTCTCTAGATGTCACTTTGGCTTTGGGATAAGAAACCCAGAATTAAGATCAAGGCTTCTGAGCACTGTTCACACAAAAGAAAATACCTCAGGAGACATGAAGATGGTTTCAGTGCTCACCTTCATAAGGAAGATGTGTAAGATTTCAAGAAAAAGCATCGACCGAGTCGAAGAAAGAAGTAATGTACAGGTAAAGAAGACTGCAAGGTTCAGCCCCCTAAGCCCACCGGGAAGCAGAAGGGATCCATGGCTCCATTCTTTGTGACAACGTATGGTCTGATCAAGGTCTCTTCACAAGCTGCAGTGACAGAGCGGTGGTAAGACGGGATATATTCCTTAAAGAGAAGTCACAAGCCATTCAGAATGGGGCTGTACCCAAAAGTGTTTCACAGCTCTGTTTGTTTGGGGGTTTTGGTTTTTAGGGGGGTTGCTTTGGGGTTTTTCTGGCAAAGCTATGAGGGAGTGGGAGTGGGCTTTCTTTAGTTGCGGGAATTTTGCTTTTTGTTCTTTGTTGGTTTTTTGCTATTTTTAAAATCCACAATAAAAGTCAATTCTGACTGAGAGTATCTGTTTCCTTTTTGTGTATGTAAAAATGCAATTGTTTAAAAGTTGTTCAATGTAGCTTTTGTGAACTTATAATAGTGAGTGGTGCAGGCACTATGAGCTCCAGGATACTAATGCACCTGAAAATGGTTTAGTGGACTATGTTCTCCTCCTGGTTTAATTTATAATATTTTTAGCAACTTTCCTTCAAGGATCTCTGAAGCTGTGCGCCAGCATGTGTTTCATCGTGAGCATACATGTATTATTATTGGTTTCAGTGGGATTCCTTACTTGCTGGAAGTCATGTTTCAGCACTTTAGAGTCCAAGTGCTTAACAAACATTAATTATACCCTGTAACACCGAGTAACAGCTCTGTTTTACAGATATGGAAAATTAAAACTCATAGAGGTTAGGCAAAGATTGAGATTTAGAGTCAAAATCTTCACACTCCTAGATCCCTATTTCAACCACGCAGCTATGTTGCTTGCCATAAAAAGCCTCTAAAGCAAGTTCCAGCTTTCCTAAATTGCTCTTACTTTAGAGGTCTTGAAGTGCTGTATTCGAAAAGCAAGCCTTTGTTTTCAAGGGTTCATCCCAGCTTAAGTCATTCAGTGGAGCTGCTTTTCAGCACTCCTAAAGAGTAAAGTTCAAAGTCTGAAAAGATGGTCATCAATTTTAGAAAAGCCAATCCCATGCCCTGCTCCTGAGCCTCTCTTTCCTTATCTAAAAACTATGGGTAGTAAGATTTACTAATCTATCGAGGACTTGCGAGAGTAATTAATGTTTGTGAAGTACTTAGTCTTAAGCGCTGTGTGAGTGTTTGTGCTCTCTCCAGTTTGGCAGTCGGACCGTTGCTCAAGGCTGGGATGTCCTGGCGCTTCCCGGGAACCAGGAGCTCCCTCCGTGGAGTGTGGCCAGGATTTAGAAAACGTGGCTTAGCAGGAGGGACTGAGGTGGTATGGGGGTAGACATCACGGGCTTTTCCTTTCCCCACCTGGCTAGGTGGTGTCTTTAAGCTGCTTAAGCAACTACCGCAGGACAGTTCCAGAAAAATGCATGTTGGAAATGCTCAAACCTGAGATAATCAAGCTGCTTGTAAGTGCCTAACTACTGGTAATCATAGAAAATGACATTTGGAAAGTATCAAAAATGAAATTTTGATGTTCGGCTTAAACTAAACAAGGGAAAAAGGGGCAGTGCAAGTTTAACGTGTGTTCCTCTGCCTGTTTTCTAGCTATTTATGTGGCTGATTAATGTTACTGAAAGCTTGATTAAGGAAAAAGAGGAGCACCTAATAATATTCTTGAAAAGTGATTTTCAATCACTTTTTAAAATCAGCTGTACTAAAAACGGATTTAAAAGCTTTAGTTACATAACCATGGGATATCTTGTCTTAGCTTCTCTGTTCAAAATCTGGAGGCCCAACAGCAGTTTGCCAGGCACTGTAGTGTGCTGATTGCTGCTAAATTTTGAATAATCCCAGCCACTGGAAATGCTTTCTGCCATTTGTGTGAACTATGTATTTACCAGTTTCAAAAAATAATTGCATTTAGAAAACTGAATGGCTCTGAATACAAAAGAGCAAAGTAGAGTATCAAAACCAGTGAAGTTGTAGTATTAATGTGTGACTATTTGAGTTCAGCGGGAGTTGATGCTGTCTGTATCTCTTGCTTTTCAGCTTCATGTGGTCCACTGGAACTCAGAAAAGTATTCCAGTTTTGTCGAGGCAGCTCGTCAGTCAGATGGATTAGCAGTCATGGCTGTATTTCTGAAGGTAAGAAAAAAATGTCTCAGCCCACCTAATAAATCTGCATTATGAGCCCAAAGCAATAATGGTGATAGTTGGTACAATTATTTCTAGAGAGAGAATTGTTTTATGCGGGCATTAAATTATACTGTTTCCTTTATACTGTTTACTTTCCAGTATAGAAAGCTGTGCTTGCTTGAAGGTTAAAAATATCAGATTAATAGATTTTCAAGACAGTGAGGCTCTTCAGTTTGCCTAGTCTGCACTCCTGTACAACAGAAGATGTGGAACTTAATTCAGCTGCCTCTATAAGGATCCCGATAACTTATGCTTGACTAAGGGCGAACTGATTTGTTTCGAGTGCTTCTTTAACAGTTTGTTTCTGAGCTGATAGTTTCTTCTGAAAAATGAAAAAGAAAACCCCAGAATCTAGAGAATTTCCTTGTAATTGTTATATACCTCTTTGCCTCCTGCACCAATTCTAAGATGAAATTCAACTCTTGCAACAGCTTCATTGACTTCTGTATGAAGAAGCAGATGGAGAATTCACACAATCCATGACAAAGGATAGGGCTTTGGTCAAATCTGTGGTTTCTGCCTGGCTGCCGCTGCTTCCTGGGCACAGCTAGTGGTGGTGCTGGTGCAGTCAGTGAGCTATTACATGCAGCAGTTGCAAAGAACTGCTTCAGTAATTCTGTCTTTCCTGTTTACATTATAATGATTCAAGGAAAGTTCCACTGGATTTCTTAGCACACAAATTCTGCTTGGGATACATAAAAATGATGTTTTCACTGTTACAAGCAATTTAAATTTCAGATGTAAGCCTGAAACTTTTAATATCCTGCATACAAAACATGAAAAATAAATTGCTTTTATTCCCCTGCAGTGTAAAGTCTGTGGGTCTTTTGTAGCTGAAATAATTACTATGAGTAGGCAGAATAAATACTGTCAGCAAGGGAGTGGATCTTCTTTACGACCAGTACTATTTCTAAGGACCAGCTAGTCACAGGCTTGTACTCACAAAAACCATCAGATCTCACAGTCACTTAAGTAAAGCTATATAAAATAGTTTCAGTACGCATTTGCTTTTTGATCATTTATTTTTGCTATTTTTCTCTGAAAGCTCAAGTATTTCTTTATTCTCTCCGCAGTTAATAGATTTGTGTAATAAATACTGTCAGCAAGGGAGTGGATCTTCTTTACGACCAGTACTATTTCTAAGGACCAGCTAGTCACAGGCTTGTACTCAGAAAAACCATCAGATCTCACAGTCACTTAAGTAAAGCTATATAAAATAGTTTCAGTACGCATTTGCTTTTTGATCATTTATTTTTGCTATTTTTCTCTGAAAGCTCAAGTATTTTCTTATTCTTCCGGTGTTAATAGATTGGTGAATGCAACCCTCAGCTGAAGAAGATTACTGACCGCTTGGACACCATCAGAATCAAGGTGAACAAATGCTTCTAAAAGAATACTAATGCTAGTGGTTGCTTTTGTTGTTTTGTTTTTTTGGTAACCTGGCTGCTACTTCCTTCACCTTCATGTTCCCTAGTTTCATAGCTATCCATATCTAACTCTGATTTGGGACAGTTTAGGAGCATTCTTGTTAGAAAAGTTAAAAACTAAGCAGACAAAGAATAATTTTTATACAATAAGAGATCAGAGGAAAAAGCTAATTCCTCATAGAACCTAACCTCTGACAAATCTGTTGCTGTGAGAATATTAACAGGAGAAGAACATACTTTATGGAAAGCTGTGAAAAAGATGAAGGAAAGGTTTCCTCCCCTGTTTTGCTGAGGTACAGGGTGAGAAATAAGCTATTGTATGTGTGAGAGCGATCAGCCAGACTCAGCATCATGTCTCATACAGGCATCTCTGGCCTGGTAGCCAGGGAGAAGTAGGGACATGGTTTAGTGGGCATGGTGGTTTTGGGTTGACGGTTGGACTCGATGATCTTAGAGGTCTTTTCCAACCTTAATGATTCTATGATTCTATGATTCTAAGTAGTAACTTTTGGGCCTGGGAGGAGTGAATGGGAAAGGGAGCAGGTGGCAGTAACCTGTGGGGTTACTCCGCCAGCCCCATAGAGACCACGTTGAAAGTCTAACGTCTTCTCACCTCTCCCTCCAACCTCCATCCCATGGTCATTTGTAACTACGGGGTGCCTATGCTAACATGACACCTTTGATGGTGTTCCGCTAGCATCAAGGATAGCAGCAGCAAAGCTGTCGCAGAGGTAAGACCTCATGAGAAGGACACTGGCTCACCTGCTGTGATCATCCAGAATGCTGCCAGCCCACCCCATAGTGGAATAAGCTCTACCTCCTTTGGCGTGATTTATCTTGGCCTCTTGCTTTTAAGTAATATTGCCCTGTTTTTTCTTTTTTTTTTTAAACTTTGTGTAAGAAATAATTTTCTAAATATATTTAATCTAGAACCACAGCTTTTTTTTTTTATTTTCCAGGGTAAAAGAGCACTATTCACAAACTTCGATCCTAGCTGTCTGCTTCCCAAGTCCCTGGACTACTGGACTTACTTTGGCTCTCTCACTGTTCCACCTCTTCTTGAAAGTGTCATCTGGATTGTTCTGAGAGAGCCCATAAGTGTTTGTTCTGAACAGGTATTTTTCAATTTTTCGCTGCTATAGATATGTTGCTTTTGTAAGACTTCAAATTGTAAATACCACCCCAAAACATACTCTTTTGCAGACCTTGACATTGCATACCTTATCAAATTTTCAAAGGACAAAAAATGTGTCTATCAAATTTATCATGACTTCTTGTTGCCTTTCTTTGTGTAACAGCTATTTATTATCCATTTTTTTAAAAGAATCTGCATAATCTAAAAATTAACAATCAAAAATAACCCACAAGGAACTTATAGAAAAAAGGGTTCTGATGATGCTAAGAAATCCTGGAATTCCACTCGATTTGGTTATTTGCACATCCTGCTCAAATCTCTTCTCTGCCATTTTTATTTGGCAGATGAATGTAAATTTCATCTTGCATTCCAGTTGTGTAAGCCTTGGTGAATTTACTAGAATTATGAAAAGCAAATACAATTGTAATAAGTTGTTTTTTATGTTAGGCTATCTGCGGAAAAGTGTGATACCACATAAAAGAGTCTACTTACATTTCTTGTTAAATTAAGCTTCATGCTATTTATTAATGTTGCAACAGTGACACCCAGTGGACTGATCATCTTAAGTATAAAGAGTTTTTCTCACTGGAGACACAGAAGTATATCAGATCGTAGCTTCTAATATGGGATGTTGATAAGTACACCACCTGCAATACGTTACCAATATTCTGGGCACACTGTAAACCTTAATATTTTTGTACCACAGCGTTTGTCTCATTCATGGTCAATATTACAAACACCTCAGAAAATGCAATACCCTATGTCACATACTCAGCAGAAATGGTGACTTCAGTCTTTGTGCAAAATGTTAAGACAGTTCACTGAATGGGATGCTTGTTAGTCAGGAGACCTCAAATTCTGTTTGTAAGTGATTTGAAGTCATGTATTTGCTCAGTGTGTCCATTTTTCTCATCTATCTGTCTTCCCCACTCCCCTCAATCTGGCTTTGTAAGACTCGCTGCAATGCGTATGGGTCTAGGATTGAAAATTTGCATTAAGATATGAACTTCCCAAAGATAAGCCATTGTTCAGGTTAAAAGGTTCTTATTTGGGCTGATCTATAGTTAATATATTCTAAAATGTGAAATACTGTATGCAAACACCCATGTGTAACAGGTTCAGAGGACGCAGTGTCGGAAACAGTGTCAAGTACAGTGATTCTTTACTAGTCATTTTTCATAGACTGTAGCTATATCTTATGTATTAAAGTATACATGTGCTATATTCTTATAAATATAAGCACGCATTAGTTAAAAGTGTTTGTTTCTAGTAATGTCCACTATTGTGATTGATCAGTCATCACCATGACTGATACTGTTTTGCCATTTAATTTTATTCCTCAAGTTTGTATTTCTTTGGGGCTTTACAGTTTACTGCCTACTTTTTGATGCATTTTTCAGGTTGAAAGAAATTAAAATTAAATTTTAAATTTTTAGAAACTCACAGGCAGCCTTAATGACAAATGTTAGCTTTAGAATGGGGTAGAACAAGGTATCATTGACTTTTTTTGCTTTTAATGCAATCAAGATGCAATGTTCTGTACAACTAAATGCTCTGTTATAATGGAATTATTTTTGTACTGTCCTACACTTGGTAATCAAGAAGGGAAGTAAGGTGGTATATAGAAATAGTAAATATTGGAAATATTAGAAATTAGACAAAATACTAAACTTCAGGTCAGAATTCAGACTCCAATTTCCTGAGATTAGACATGGAGCTCTGGTATGGGTTTCTGCTGAGATCAGCTTAAGCAGAGAAGCTTATGCTGAGGTATGAATAACTGTCTGTTCTATGTCTCCACAAGGGAAAAGTTTTCAATCTCTCCTGGTTTGAGTACATGTTTAATATATCAAAAGTGCTAATTACAGAAGCTTTCTACAGCACCACAGCTATTATTCCAGCTTAATTGTGAATATACTCCGAACAAGATGTGCACAGGTACACATAAGAAATTTAATTTTTGGCACCAAACATTCCAAGTCTCCAAACTATAAAATCAAACTAAAGAATATAGAAAACTCTGTTTTAGATCAGGTTGTGGAAGACAAAGTGTGAATACAGGAAGCAAATAATCCTTATGTGCAGTTTCATTCTGACACGTATTTTGGGAGATTTTCTTGGCAGTCATCATTTTTTAATTTGCAAGAACAGAAATGGTGGAATTGCCATTCTCCACATGCCATAGAAAAATACAGTTCCATTCTTCCTGGATGAAAAAAGGTGACAAGTATCTTTAATATTTACTACATGCTTTTTCATTAGTATGAGCATGAGGGTTTTCTGCTGAACCTTATGTCTCTTTTGATTGCAGCTAGCCAAATTCCGCAGCCTCCTGAGCACTGCTGAGGATGAGGTCGCCTGCTGCTTGCTGAGAAACTACCGGCCTCCCCAGCCTTTAAAGGGACGAGAAGTCAGAAGGAATTAAAGGAGTAAAGCCAGAGTAGTCTCCCTCTGAAACCAAAGGCTGAATTAATTTTAATAGTTAATATACTTTGTGATTTTTTTTTTTGTGAGTTGTTATAACAAATAGGTATTGTTTTATTATTGGTTACTATGCAGTCATTTCTCACAGACAAGTATGTCCTGAGTTGTTGCAGGTTCATTGATGTTAACAGGTCTGACTGTGTTTGAGTGCGTTGGTTTGGGAGCATTGAGGCATTAGCGTTGCATGCACAGAGGGCAGTGCTAATCGTAAGGGTCAGATGTGGTGAAGGAGTTGTCCAGAATTTGCCACTAAATTACTGAACAGGATTCCTGATATTAATGGCAGTAAAGGATCTTCTGGGATTATTCTTCTGGTCTCTAACATAACATTTAGCTTCTGTATAAGACTTCACACTGTAATTCTCAAGAAAAAAATATTTCAAGGCTGATTAATTTCATTGCTGACTTCTGCAATACCATGCTTACCTTCCTACAAAAAGCAGTAATGACTAACAGCACTGAAGTAAAACAGATATTTATATCATCCTGTTGTTCTGACTGCTTCATAGCAGTAATGATGTACTGACTGAATTTTTTTAAAAAAGCAAATAGTAAGGATCTTGTATATCGCGGGATCATGTCAGGTGGATTAGGTATTCCTGAATTCCACCACGTATACTGATGAAATTGTCCTGAAACCTGAAAACTGCAAGGTGGAAGGGCATAGGGGGAACTGTTCGTTCATGCCTAAAGTCAGTCTGTTGCATTTGGTGAACAATAAGGGACTGTAACACTATATCCATGTAGCATCAGACTCCTACCACTTAAAATAAAGAGGCAGGGGTAGGTGTTGCTCCAGGCTGTTTCATGCTAGACACGTGGCATGCTGCAGTGTGAGACATGCTGCATACCTCACATCTTGCAGGGGAGCCCAGCACTACTCTGGAATGTAATGTCTCCTAGGTACTGGCTGAAGTTCTGCTGTCAGAGCTGAACTTGGATGGTTGCACTTATATTCCAAGACCAAAGATAGCATTTAGAGCAAGCCAAAGAAATCAGAAGCAAGTCGATATCTAATAAAAGATCAGCCCTCAATAGCAATGTGTTGAAATGTCTGTCTTTATGAATTGACTTGAGCCTGTGTTTCTCTCAAGAGCTTTTGTTATCTGAATATAATTGTTTGTTTTATGCCAAATTTATTATTTTTAATGAACTTGCCACAGGCTGTAGCTTAGTATAGGATTAGATTTACCCTCAGACTCTGAGAACTACAAGTGAAAGCCAGTGATACCTGAAAGAGGCAGCTAGAGGTTTCATGGGCAGTGACTACCACCAATCTCTCTAGTACTTCTGACCAAACTCATCTCCCACGACTGCTCTCCATGAATTTGTTTTTTTCATAGGTTTTAGAGACTGTGCCTCTTGCCTCAACAGATCTTTTGTTCTAAGATGGACAAATACGAGGGAAATAACAAACAGGATTGACTTTATATACCTTCTTACAACTGAATAAATTAGACATAGAGACATAGATATTTTAGCTTAGTTTAAGATAGGTAGATTTTTTTGTTTTCTCCTCCCCAGAATATAGCTACTATTGCTGCAAGGCCTCTCAATGCCTTCTGAAAGTTTTCTGAAGGAAAGAACACAAATAGACCATGGAAGAAATAAAAGACGTTTGGCAGGGGCAGCAGGTACAAGTATTAACCAAAGGGGAAAAGCTTGCAGGCACTTTTTCTTTTCTGGCATAGGGTGAAGAATGCAGCTGAAAAGACCTCAGGCTGGTTCCTTCTGAATGAGGATGTCTGGAAAGTGTGCATGGAGAGAGCAGGAGTGTGTTGCGTGTTTTCACACCCTTTTTTAGACTTAGTGTGGGATCTGATATGTTTCCCTGTCACGTGAGTAGCTGCAGAACATGAACAAAATGTTTACAAATTGCATGAAGGTTAAAGTTTGTTTGCCTGGGAAGAGAAAGTAATAAGGCTACTGCTTCGTATCAGAAACAAAAGTTTTACATGTTTTTTATATATTGAAAACAGTGGAGTTGATCCAGTGCTTTGATATTTATAAGGATTTTATCAAAATAAAAAATGGATTTTATGAATGTGTCTTGTATTTTCTATTGAAGAGTTTCAAGTTTTACAGAGAATGCTGCAGTTTTATAACTAGCGCCTGCAGCTCTAGTTTTGGAAAAAATAGTCACCCCTCATTTGAAGTCTATCTTTGGGCAGTACAGTATTAGGTATCTTTTTTATGTTCCAAGTAAAATGTTTTTGGTAATGTTCAGTGGTAAGACATGCAATCAATTGTACATAATATTCTGATAGCGCTTTTTTGAACTAGTTACTGTTTTTATAGAGTTATGCAAATAAGTTTTAGAAGAAGACATCATTCACAGTAATTCTCCTAATGTGGAGATGCTGTGTTCGCGTTAGATTGACCTAGCATGGTACTGCATCTGGGCTGAAAGCTGGTGGTGGCATCTGAAAAAGACTAGAAATGCTCAGTTGCCTGAAATCCTTTGGGAACAGCTTCCCAGATTCTCTCTCTGCTGTGACTGTAAGGTGAGAGAATGGATCCAGTCTCGGCACTGAGCACGTGGTTGCATCCTCAGTCATCAACTTACCGTAGGCCTAAACTGCACTGAATCTCAACCAGATTACATAACGTGCTCCCAGGGAATTAAATCTCAAGTGTGGGCTCCGTGCTGTACTAAGATGACTCTGGAGCAGCCAAGGCTAAAATATGTCCTCACCCCCCCGCTGCAGGTCTCTGACCAACTCTTTACCCTCTGACACACTTGGAGCCATTGTGTGAAGAATGAAGAATGAAATGCTCAGTGACCAAAAAACATATAGGGTATTTGCTGAAAATAGTAGCTGTCAAGAATTGTATATGGCTGGATAGTTGATCACCCATAAACTTACTCTCAGAACTAAATAAACTGAAGTAGAGCCTTGGGGTCAGCTCTGCTGTTTTTGGCACAGGAGGGAAGCAGTGTGCTCTGCTGTGTCTATAGCCTTTGCCAGTCATGCTCATGATGTCTTTCATGTTGCAAAGAGAGAGTTTAACATCAGCTGGGAATTTTCTTTATGTCAAAGAAAAAGCCTGGGAAGTAGCTGTCTTTTCTTCTGGAGTGCAGTGGGCTGAAGATCAGGCAGACATCTGTTCGCTGCCATACACCCACTTGCTATGTACCTGTGCTTTCTCTGCCCCTGCAGAGATTTGTCTCTCCTGCTTCAGCAAACAGGACTTTGCTGGCCTTCCAGACATGAACTGGGACCTAAAAGAATTCAAGGAATCAATTCCAGGAAAAAAACTCAAGTCTTCCAAATACTCAATTTTAAAATAACTTTACTGAAAAAAGTGGACTATGGCATATAAATAAAGTGACATAATAGAAAGAAATATGTAATACATTTTTTATAAACTTAATGGAAAGGAAACTTGGGATTTAGATTCTTGTAGCTTTAGGTAGGCAAGGAGCAGATTGCTAGAGATAAATCTTGCCTAGCCTTCAGATGTTAAAAGTTGCAAATAATTGAGAGCCCTAGAACACCTGCAATGCCTTAGAACACCTGCAGGTTGCAGCCTCAGCATGAAGGTACAAATGCTAGAGGAATGCTGCTCTAGAGATGTCTTTTTCTTTTATTATCTATTAACTAGTATAAGAAAGCATTGTGACAGTCTCCTTTATCACTCTGCTGCTAGATAGACTACATCTAACTTCTGGCCTAATTACTATATTTTGTTGTTCCCCCCACAGTCTGATCTTGCTTTGTGGTTTTAGCTATGGAGTAGAGAGTTTGTTCCATTTTTGTTTTTAATTACCATTGCTTGCCTATGCTCATTTTTCTTTGATTCTTCTTCCCTGGCATCTCTTTAGGACTTAGGATAAAAACCTTGACTTATAAAGCTTCCTACAAAAATCCAGTAGCATTATATTTCCACCAATGTTCTGCACATATAGATAGCCTGCTTGTTTTTCATATTAAGTCTTGTTATTGTTCGTTTGTACAGATGTAGGCTAATAGATATTTGGCCCATGACTTAATTTCTTGGATACTGTTATTTCCATACCCTTTATTCATGAAGTGCTTACTCTATGGACAGATGGCCTTTTCTGGGTGTCTGCTGTCTTTGTGAGACAGGAGATAATGCTGAAGTGCTTAAACAAAAATGTTTTTAAATTAATGTTTTGTTTCCTATTTCTTTCAACCTCTCCGTCATTCATGCCAATTACAAGTTTTCACTGTGGTGAAACATTTACATGTGTGACCTGTGTTGGCTTCTGTTGTGCAGCAGTGTTTGGGGACAGAGGATGTCTCTGACAGGAGAGTACTGGATTGTCCTGTGAAAACAAAGATTCTCTGTCTCCGCTTAACAGAACTGATGTGCTGCACAGTCAATTCCTGTGTCACTTCTATTTTATCAAATTTCACCCACATACTTGGGTACATAAATTTGAATAATTTCTAGATGCTCCTGACAGTTTCATTTTTCAGATGTAAATCGTACAGGTTGCATGCAACAGATAGATGAAATGTATTTTTTATGAAGATCTGATATAATTTTTTTTCTGTCTCATTTGAAAATATTTTGAATAAAGCATCAGTCATTTAAATGTCAACATTTTGCTTCCAATTCTTCTCTTTTCTACAGTTGTATGAACACCAGACAGAAATGTGCTCAAAAATAAATTTTTTAAAAAAAACAGCACTTTGGCATTTTTGAGGGAAAAAAGGAACCCAGTCATCCTTGGTGTTTTTCAGATTCTGTTCTTTATTTCTGTTTTCCCTTTGTCCTGTTTAAACACCAGCTTCTTATGTAGTTTGCGATTTCATGAATAAACAGTTTACCTGGAAATCACTAAGGATCTCAGCATCCAAACTTATACTCCAGAACTGTTTTAAAATTCTCATGGTTATGTAGAAAGCATAGGTACCTATGTAAGAACAGCTGAAAGACTGATGTGTTCCCAGGTCTGCAGATGGCAGCGGCAATCCAAAAATTGCTGAAGGTTATTTAAATAGTATTTGTTACCTACTTCATTGCAAATACAGTTATAAATAAGAGCAGTATCTTACTGTTGTATCAAACTAAAGAATATAAGAGTCATGGTACCGTGCTATTCAACAACATTAATTTTGAAGTCTGTTAAAAATGTCTGCAGAGACTAGCCAAAGAACTTCCAACCTGTTGGCCCAATGCCCAAAAGAAACCTTGAATCTCTCAAAATAGTTTAGCTCATTTTCATGACTGGTTCACGGAACCTTCATCAGAAGAACAAAGCTAGAAGCAAAGCCCAGAACAAAGCCCTTCACGAATGTCTACTGCAGCAAACCTGTTTGACTGAATTAGTTTTGAACTGGCTGATACATAGCAATAACTATATATGGCAAAATAAAAGCAAACCACTATTTATTAATTAACATTATTTAAGTAGCTGTAACATGGTGCGTAGTATTTTCAGCAGGCATCCTGAGCAAATCCTTGAAATATTCTCTTCTGTGCTCACAGTCTGATGGTGTTAATGTAGTTACTGTTCCTACATAATTGTTCCTAAAATGTTTAGCAACTATACTATCTATATATATTCTCTCTGTATATATGTTTCTCAGTAGATGCATGATATACCAGATACATATTAAGTATGTGTATATATACACACATACACTGTAGAATATACAGGAAGAGCTGGAGGATGACTCTAGAGCACAGCAGATTCTGTTGAGTACTATGGAGTTGAGCTGACACAGGACTCCACTAGCCTCCTGAAGTCTGCAGGCAAGGTCCTGTGCCCAGAAAGGCTTCAGTTTTGGTGTGTGGATGGTGTCAGTGATAGCTACATTCAATAGGTAGGTATGTGGCAATGCTAAATACATGATGTTGAGATGGTGCTACCTCAGCAGAAGCTGCGTCTCCTGCATATTGGGGATGCCCAGCACTCTTACATGCACTGGCAAACAGCGCTGATGATACAAAATCTTGTTCTGTTTTGACATATACTTTGGAGATAGATGGCAGACTGATTGAGGACAGAGATTTTGGGTTTGAAAAGATGGTAACAGACTAAACTATATTCCATAATCTAAAACGTTGAACTGACTGTGAACAACTGAGTGGTGAGAAGTGAAGAAAATGAAGAAAAATGCCAAAGATAGGGAGCAAGAGCATGAACACCAAAAAACCCCTTCTGATAGAAGAAGAGGCCCTTTGCAGATTGCTTTTGCCGGTAGATGTCACTGTAAATAAGGCAATGGTCTGGGTGTCACCTTCACACTGACACGGCAGCCCAAATAACATGCACAGTGTCCTGAAGTCTCAGCCTGTGGAAGAAGCATATGTAATACAACTCACGTACTAAGAATGTGCTGTTGATTGTGACTTACTCCCTTTCTTAAAAGTGAAAGAAGGATTATGAAAAAAATGATTACTTTCAGATACATAACAAAAGACATTCAGATTTAAAAGATCATATGGACTGTGTGTGGCCACGTAAGCGCTACCAAGCAGGCTCTGTAGGTCCAGCATGTTCTGGCTTAGCTGGACTTCCCTGAGCGTATGGAAAGCCGCTGGGCAGAGCATGGGCAGCAGATCAGACTGTGCTGGTGCCCGAATCTCTGGGAGCAAGTTCCATGCAAGGACAAATTGACACATGCAGTACAACTGAGCATAGGTGATCATCATTGAGCAGGTTTTTTGCAAAGGGAACAGTAAAGATTCATATAGAAAATCTGACCAGTTATTTGAAACCACTTTCTGCTTGTTTCCTGACAGATTCAGATGAACAGTGGTGCTCACTTCGGCCATGGCACTGCTTTCACCCGACTCTCAGTGTGAGGCTCCAGAAAGCGTTTGCCTACCTGTCTCTCTCAGTTATGACATATCTAAATATCACTGCTAGGACCCAAGGCAGGTTTCTTGGTTCACACAAGCACACTGCAAATGTGCATTAACTGGAAATAGATCTGTGTGATTACAGAGAGAGTTGTAATTGTGGACACAACAATGAATTACTAAAATGTTTTCCAGTGTGTTTTGTTTTTTTTTTAATTTAGTGGGTAACTCTCATTTTTACCAATCTAGATTT